ATTAAAAATTTTCATTTCTATATTAAGAAATAAAAAAAAACTACCTACAAAGATTTTTTATAGTTTTAAGCATCTATTTTTGGAATTATGTCCCTATTGAAATAAAGAGCTAGGAATTATGTTTTTATATGCTAAATACTTTAAGGACCTATCTTTACTATCAACACATATATAAAAATTTCTGTTTAAATAAATAAAAATATTAAATTTTATTTTTATAATTTTTTAATAATCAAATTTAAATTACTTATCTATAATAATTATACTTTGCTTTTGATTTTATATTATTTCAAGTATAATATATTCATATTTCACTTCTTGTTTTTTTGCTCTCATTAGATATACTAATATCATCATATATTTTGTTATTAATATTTTCTGATTCTTGATTAATATCATCATATATTTTGTTATTAATATTTTCTGATTCTTGATTAATATCACTATCAAGTATAAAAGAATTATTTGTATTTTGAAACAAAGACATTTATTATTTTTGTAAATAATAAAAAAAAATGAATTAACAAAAAAAACAAACTTTGCTTTAGCAAAAAAATTTTTTTATCATTTAAAATTCATTTTATTTATTGCAATATAATAAATAATAATCTATAATTGATTATTATTATATATTAGTTGTAATTAGAACTTAAAAAAGTACTAAACTAGTATAAAACTGATATTGAAATAATACTAATCTATATAAATTAAATTGATTGAATTTGATTTGAATCGAGTTTTTAACAATTTTATTTTAAATTAGAATCAAATCAAATCGAAATCAAATCATTTAAATTTAATTTTTTTATTTTAAAAATTGAATTGAATTGAATCAAATTGAAGTTTTATTGTTTAAATTTAATTTTTTAAATAAAAGAATCGAATCGAATCATTTAAATTCAATTCTAAATAGAATCATTCAGATCCTTAGCTGATACTCAAATATTAACAATGCTAGCAAGATTTATTACACTTGTTATGTGATTTAAGACTTATATGTTCAATATTACTTTTGTATCCACTACTGATATTCTCTTTATTAGACTTTGGATTTCCAAATTACAGATTGTCCATTGCTATAAATATCTCCAATACTGAACAAAATTTTCACACAGTTTTTTCATACAATTTTTTCTTTATTCATTATTAATCAAGTTTTCCTTATATTATTTATCCAGATTTTACATATTAATAATTATTTTTCCTAATAATATTAGATTAATTCATTCAAGTTTGCTCATATGCTTGTTTTCCTTAAATGGTATACAGTGGTAAGATGAATTTCAAGTTGCAGATTTATAGTAACAAAAAAATCTTTTTGTTTCTATCGGTTTCTTAAATAATTTAATATTTGAGAATTAATTTTCATTCAGATATTGTCAAACTTTTCAAATGCAAATTTAATCAGTATATTCAAAGATTTTACATATTGTTTTTTCAAAAGATTCAATTTTTTTTTGAATTATTCCCTTTTTATTGGATGAATTTATTCTATTTATTTCAAATTATTGAATATATACTTATGTATTTTCTATAAACTTATTCTTTCTATATAGCATTGACAGGTTATAACCTAGTGGATCCCTAGGTTATTCTGCTTTGGGAATGATTCATATATCCAAGAATATTTGTTATTTTTATTTTCTTTAAATTTTTTTCTTTATTTTAATATTGGATACTGATTTTTCTTCTCTTTTTTCTTGCTTCAGATTTGTTATTATCATAATTATACCTAGAGAAAACTGTATGTTCAAAGTTGCTCACCTTACTTACTCTGGTCATAAAGATCCTTTCTGAAAGACCATAGTAATGCTTCAAGAAAGGGTTAAAATTTTGGAACATTTGGCATGTCATGGAGAAAAGGTCAAGACCTTGCAAAAAGAAGTTATCAAGTTAAAAAAAAAAGTTATCAAGTTATAGGCTAACTTGAAAAAACTTTCAAATGCTCAGACCCTTTACTGTCGCAATAGAGAGTTGGAGTTGGAAAACTTCAATTTAAAGAATGGGGTGGCTCAGTTGAAGGAATTCCTTTAACTTTTAGAAACTCCTGCCCCTGCTCCTTTTGATCTGTCCTTTTCCACCTTTGAATTCAATTAGAGGTTTGTCTTTTTTAACCTTAGTGTTTTGTTCTGTTCAATCTAGCTTTATGAATTTATTACAAGAAATATAGTAGTTGCTGAATATGCTTTGTGGACTGGCTGTAATGAAAGAGAAGAGTTAGTGGGCTCTTTTTATTATACTGTATTTCTTGCTTGCTTCTTAGTTTTCAGATTCCTTTCTTCATTTAAGGGTTCAATGATACTTGTATTTGGGCAAGTTGAGAACTGAGCTATCATGATATTTATATCCACATCATATAGCCTAGATGCTATATTTCATACAGTAGCTAAAAGATACATCAAGATTTCAATATTTCTTATTAAAAATATAAAAGTAATAATGATAATAAAATAATAAGGTTTTAATAAAATTAAAAATATTTATGTAAATAAAATAAATATATTATTTGTGCAAAATGAATTGAAAGAATAGTATTAATCAATTTAATAATTTTATAAAATACTATAGTCTCAAACATCATCCTATTACAATTTTACACTTCATGACTAACCAGCCTTTAATCAGCATATGCTATGGATTCCTAAGAATCAAGATCATCTATAGCTATATAATGGCTTTATGAAATTACCAGAGCAAAATAATAATATTTTTTTTCAAATCATAAAAATAAAGAAGTAAAATGATATGTATATTACTAATACTAATAGAGTATGAGGAATAATCAAAGGAATAACAAAGGAATTATAAAAAGGTAAGGATAAAAAGGAGTAAGGTAATTATTAACTTTGCTTTTGTCTTTATAGAATCTTAATGGTGTGATCACGATAGAGTAAGATCAGTACATGTATGCTAATGGTTTTGATGATGTATGTTAACCATATCTTTGTAGGTCTTGATATGGCTTCGTGGGAATGATTGGTTGGTTCGGTGGTGGTAAGCTTTTTCGCTTTCTTTCTTGTCGTCTTCGTCAGTTGATGATACTTTCCGTTGTTATCATTGTTGTCACAGTTTCGGAAGGACATACTTTGTCAGTAGGATATTGAGATCCATCAGATGAAACTATATTGGTGGTAAGATGGACATCGGCATGATGGTTGTGAAGGTGATGGTGGTAGTGTTCATAATTGATGTTGATGATATATTCCGGTATTTAACTATAAGAAAGCAGAGCAATTGTTATAGACTAATCCATTCTCAAGATCATACTCCAACTGGGTAACATCATCACAGCTGCTTTATCATTTACATCAACTTTCATCGGTATTTCATCTTTCAAAAAATTCAAGCCATAGCAGAACCTTAACCACTATAGTCTTTGTACTTTCCCAACCTCTTCTCACCCATCCGGCTAACTTGACGTTACTGTCACTTTTACTGGAAATATTTTTTTTTTTGATTGGATAGGTATTCGTTCACTCATGGAGGCGCAATCGTGATTATAATCGTGATCACGATTATGACAGCATCCCAATGTTCACATTGAAGCTGTTATCTTCTTGAGGTGAGGTAAGTGTTCCATTTGTTATATCTGTTTTTTTTGTTTTTGGATGATTAATTCTTTCTCTAACCACTCTTATTTTTGGTTTTGTTTTTTTTCTTTCCACATCAGTGCCTTCTTCATGGTCTTGTTCCAGTATTTCCAATCGTTGGGATGGTATATCTCTCATCGATCATTTATTATGATGGGGGCTTGTTGGAGCGTTAGACTTTTCTTGCTGCTCTGACATCTTTGAGAATATATGCATGCATATATATTCTAGGCATGCTTAACTTTTGTAGACTTCATATGATAAACATTTTTTCTTCATGATCGTGATCTCGATCATAATGGCATTTCAGCATTTGTATTCTCTTATTTAGATACAATTCTAGTAAGTCATGACATTTGTAGTGTTTTTTTCATTTTGTGATGTTTTACTATTGGCTTCTAACTTTTTTTTACTAGTCTTTCTCTAGTCCCATGCTCTCGACATCCGATTCGCCATCTGCGGATTCTTCTTGACCCTTGGCGATATCCATGTTCCTGGCTTGGCTACCAGAGTCTTGTCAGTAAGTTTGGTTTTTTGCCTTTGGTTTCTTTGCCATTCTTCTTTTTACTGGACGATACTTTCTTCCTTTTAGAAACTCGTTCCTTGCTTCTTTTGGCGTCGTAACTTTTTTTGTAATCATTAGCATTGACGATTTGTTAAGAGGTAAGCAATCTTTTTCCTCTCTTTTCTTTTCTTCTTTTTCTTTTTATTTTTTTATAATTATTATTATAATTATTGTTTTAAAGGAAACAGCCATCATTTTCTCTTTGTACATTGGAGGTGCATCGAATTTCTTGCGATCATATGGCATACTGCCATATCCTCGGGACTGACAACTCACTGCGAGATAAGTATCTTCTTGGCTGTTGGAACGGATGGGGACACATGGTTTCTTTGGGAATAATGTAATACAGTATTGTTCTTATTCATCATTATTTTTTTTTTGTATTTAATTTTTTTAGAGGAGGTGCATATATCACCGATCCCGTGATCGTTGTTCTTTAGGCTTCGCTTTTCTTCTGCGCAAGCCATTCCAGAGCTTCTATCGTTAAATTTGGACTTCTTTTAGGTCGGGACAATACTTCTTTATCTATTCGGTATATACTAGCAGCTGAATTCTTTGTAGGCATCATTGTTGGAACAAAATTGGTTTTTGTTTCTCCGATCGTCATGGATACAACGTTGCTTTCATCACTTTTTGAAAATCAAACTTCCTCGGAGCAATTTCTCAGGGGTGGCAATCAAAAAGCATTCCATTTTTGGGACCTGATTGTCGAATTTGCGTCTAACGGATAAGGTGTATTTTACAGTAACCACCAATTTGTCATATATTATTCTACCTCAGGAGAAAAATATAGATGGAGAACTAATAGCAGGGAGACACTTTGTATGGATAGACTAATATAGTATGCTAAAGTTCATAAGGGTGTACTAAAATTAGTACAGTTCTGAGGTGTATAAGGTCAAGCAAAAAAGGCAATGATGATTTGTTTTATAAAGGTCAAGTTATTTTATTAATAAAGCAACCTTGCAATTCCAGAAGGAATTGGAGGCATTTATATACTGTATATATTTTTAATATATGATTGGCATATATGATAATAATATATATTGGTAAAGATAATAGTTATGGAAGAGATGGTATCTTTATCAAAATAGTCAAATATACTAACATTGGTAGAGATGAATACTCTGGTAAAGATAATAAAGTAATAATAGTAAATAAAATTAAAGAATATTCCAGAATAGGAAGAGATAGTTAAGTAGGCAAAGTAGGTGAAGATATTACAGTAGATCAATAGTACAGAAATTCTAGAACAAGAAGAGGATATTTCAGGACTAAATGCTAGTGGATTATTACAAGAGTAGATAAAATATTGAGCGAAGATCAAGTGTAATAATATGAAAATCATAAATTGATTGAATCTGATTTGAATCAAGTTTTTAACAATTTTATTTAAAATTAGAATCAAATCAAATCAAATCAAAATTGAATTATTTAAATTTAATTTTTTTAATTTAAAAATTGAATCAAATTGAATCGAATCGAAATTTTATTGTTTAAATTTAATTTTTTAAATAAAAGAATTGAATCGAATCATTTAAATTTGATTCTAAATAGAATCATTTGGATCCTTAATCAATACAATATATTTATATCATTAAAGAATTAATTATTTATTTAAAAACAAAACACAAAATTATAATAATTATATCTTGAAATTTATTTACATATAAATCAAAAAAATTTATTAATAAATTAATAATAAATAATTTTTGTTTATATTTATTATTTGATTAATTATTTTCAAAAATGGATTGAAAATTTTCTTATACTACAATTGTAATTATTATATGTATATTGTTTAAAAGTAGGATCCAAAAAAATCATATCTAGCATTTTTATCATTTTTAAAAATAATTATCCATTTACAAAATTTAATAATAAATTATATATTTCTATTATTAGTACATTTAATATTATTGATTGTAAGGAAATATTATTTAAAATTAAAAAAATAAAATATACAAAAAAACAAAATATATTATATTCAAAAAAAAAAACAAATAATATTTTATTAATAATAAGATACAAATAAACAAAAATTACTAATTAGAACAAAAAATATACCTAATTATTCTATTTCAATAGAATTTTAAATTCTTCTTTAAATATATATTAAAATCCAATAAAATATATACTTTTGAGATTATTTTTGGTAAGTCTGTTGCTTCTGCCAGTAGCTTAAATTATATTAGAGATAAGTAAAGAAAGACTTCCTTAAGATCTGTATTATTGACTTGACTAACAATACTTTTTCTAATTTTTTTTTGCCTTCTCTTTTCATTGCTTGCATTTTTTAAACAACTTTCTTATTTTCTCTATTTCCCAGAAACCCTAGTATCTTTCTCTCTTGTAATAAGTACTGGATTCAGGTAAGATTTAATTGGTTTTTCTCTTTTTGAGCAGTGTCTATTATATAGTATAAAAAGAAAGATTTCAATTTAGGAACAGTTTTTCTTTATTTTATACTCCTTTTTTTTAACTCTACTGTTTCTTTTCTAACTGTTTTATTTGAATTATTATATTATGGATTATTCTTATTATTATATTATACTCTTATTTCTATTTCTTATCTATTTATTTATTTATTATCCTCCTCTTTTTATTATTATAATTAAAGATGGATCCCTAAATTATTTGTGAGGACATAATTCAAATGTCCCTTATTATTAAAAATTTTCATTTCTATATTAAGAAATAAAAAAAACCACTTACAAAGATTCTTTATAGTTTTAAGTATCTATACAAATTATTTCTGGAATTATGTTCCTATTGAAATAAAGAGCTAGAAATTATGTCCTCTAGGGGACATGAACATAAAGGAACATAAATTTTATATGCTAAATATTTTAGGGATCCATTTTTAATCATAACATTATCCCTATAATTCACTATTATAAACTATTCTAGACTTATAATAATTGTAACTCTATTTTTTAAACTTCACACTTACTAAATCTATTTATAATTAAGATCCTAATTAGACGTGATATGTGAAAATCATGTTTTGCAATCTAATCAACTTAACTTTTATTTTCAACAATATCATTAAAAAGCTTATAATCTAAGAAATCTAATAGTTATAATATTACAAAATTTTAATTATTGATTATTAAAATATTTTTATTAAATATTAATGTTTTTTTAAATTTTTATAAAATAATATTTTTATTAATATTAATTCAAATTAAATAAAAATTCTAAATTTAATAGTCAAAATTTTGAATTATTAATATCTAAATTTTATTTTAATTTAATCATTAGTTATTAAAATAATTTGATTTAAAATTAAAAATCGACTTCAAACATATGTATAATAATATAAAATAAAATTCAAAAGATAAGTATAGCTATATATAACCTTGGGTCTAGCTATTTCTTTCTATGCAAGTTTTATCTTAAATTATTATTTATTTGTTATTATTATTTTTTTTTTAAAATTTAAAGTAATATATATTTACTATTCATTTTATTGCTAATAACTTGAAAAAATACAAACTTATTAAAGAATAATATAGGTTTCTTATAATTTTTCAATAGATATAATCCAGGCTAAACTAAAAAAGCTAGCTAATATATGTTTACTTATTTAAAAGTAAAGTATATTAAAATGAATTTCAAAAATATATACCATAGTTACAATTGAAACTAATTTCATAAGAAAGATATATAACCTGTTATATAAAAATATTGCAGCCAGATATATATATTTGCTTTCAAGTCATAATTAAAATTAATATGCTTGCTTTTCAAAGTTGACTTGATATATGGCAGGTGAAGTTAAATTATTGATATTTGATAGATTTGAAAATATCTTGTTATATAAAGGCATTTTAGCTACTTTAAACAGGTTGGTTTTCAAGTTACAAAAGGATTTGGTATATCTATTTTTCAAGTATAACAAAAGTGTTAAATAGATAAAATTGTATTGAATTTTCTTAGAGATATTTTTTATCTAATCTTATATAAGAACCTATATTGTCAAGAAGTAAATGATGAACTTTTATTATTATTGCTAGCTCTGTTTGTAAGGTAACTAGAATTCCTAGTCATTATATATTACCTTACTAGATTTTTAAACCTTTTTGAAAATTCAAATAGTAATAGTTATACAATAGCTTTTAGATGTATCTAGTATATATATCCATCAATCAGTAAACAATACTGAATTTGATAGTGATAATTATGTTGATTTTTTGAAGAGAGTAAACTGTTCATCCTTTTTCTGAAAGAAATTATAAAAGAGAAAACTTGTTAAGATCTATTTCTTGGAGAAGTTACTGCTTTTTAATATGGTTTTTTAAAAAAAGAGAGTCGACTAGTTAG